CCAGCAGCCCGTCCCTGCCTCTGGATGTGCAGCGTTGCCATCACAGCCTCATGGTCTGAGAAGGGGATGTCCGTGCCCGGGGCTGTCCCCATGGTGGTCTTCAACTCCTCGCACTTCACTGTGAAGCTGGAGACAGCCTGGGCGAGGGGATGGGGAGGGTCATGCTGCCGCCTCCTCTCCCTGCCACCTGCAGCCAGTGGCCAAGGTCCCCCCGTTACCTTGTAGAGGATGTAGTCAATGCGGATGCCCAGTGGGAAGGGCATCAGCTCTGTCTTGACAGTGAAGCAGTTGTTGGGGACAAGGGTGCAGCCATCCTCACAGCCCTGATAGCAAGCATCTGGGTGGATGGGGGGCTCTTGGTGTACCCCGGGACCCCGCTCACCCCGTCGCTCACCTCAAAGCGTGTGGCCTCGGTGAAGGCATCCCGCAGCCCTGTCCAGCTGCGCAGCAGCCGGATACCCACATCTTCGGGGTGCATGTTCAGGTCCCCTCCCAGCAGCACCACATCAGCTGCCTTTGAAGTGTGTCTGTGGGGACAAGGACGACTAACCCCCTTCCCCGCCCTGCCACAGCCTGAGATTACTGGGACCTCCCCAGTGCTCCCCAGCCTTACTCTTGGCTGGGATTGGTGCAACTGGGAGCTCTCTGCAGTGCAAGCCCCAGGAACAGGGGTGACCATGCACACCCTGGGGACCCGCAGTGGGGGGACCCTGTAGGACATCCCACAGCTGCTCACCGGATGAACTGCGCCAGCTCCCAGGCCTGCACCAGGCGGTGGGGCAGGTAGGCATCCTTCTCCCGGCAGTACTCGGCGTGCAGCTGGCGACAGGGGAGGGCAGAGCGGCCGTGACCTCCATGCCAGCACCTGCCCCACTCCTAGGCTCCCTGCAAACCCACCCAGCCCCTCTACACTGTCCCTTTGGGGTCAGACTGACCCCTTTGTCTTCATCCCATCCCCCTGGGGACAGCCTGGGATGCTCACACCGCTGCACAGCCAGGTTGTGGGTCCCTGTGCCCCACCCGAGCAATATTTCATTAAATCAGTGCATAGTCCCGTGAGAGACAGTGCAGAGCAGTGATTAAAGCAAGGGCACAGCGAAGGAGGGGTATGGCCACTCATCCCCCTCCTCCCCATCATCCCCCCCACGCCAGGTCCTTCCCTGTGGCACTCACATGAGTGACATAGACATTGAAGACGATCCCAGAGATCTTAATGACGACGAGGCCAACGGACTTGCCACAGAACCAGTCCCCGTGCTGGAGCTGCCGGAAGGGCACAGGAGTGGGTCAGGACCGGTGAGGCTCCGTGGGGCCAGGCCGCGTCGTGTCCCCCCGCTCACCATGTAGGGGTACCCATTCAGTGAGTACTGGTAGAGGAGGGTGTCCAGGATGGGGAACCTGGAGAAGACGCAGAGGCCGCTGCCGATCACCCCGCTGCAGGAGGGGAAAAGCACAGTGAGGAAGTGCAGACCCCCCAGCCCCGGGCCAAGGGGGCTCCCCAGACACCTGGGTCCCAGTGTGCTCCCGTGAGCATGCCACTCTCCAGGCATGGGGTCTCCCACGGTCACAGACGTGACCTACAGCACCTGCACCAGTCTCCCCACATGGCAAACACCAAGGACGCAGCACAGCCCTGCCACCACCCCATGGACAGCCCTGGTGGGGGGCTGGCCCGGCCCCTCTCACCTGCGGAAGTAATGGGAGAAGGGGTAGCAGCCTCGCAGCTTCACCTTCAGGTTGCTGTAGTCCTGCTCGCTCCACACCTGGAGAAGAGCACGACGGGCTGAGAACAGGCACCCTCATCTCATGGGCTGAGAATGGGCGCACTCGTCTCACGGGTCACAGGCTGAGAACGAGTGCGTTCTGCTCACAGGCTGCCCTCACCTCCTGGAGAAGCACCAGGTCAAAGCACTCCCGGCGCAGCATGTCCCCAATGAGCTGGACACGCTCCTGCCGCCGCTTGCTCAGATAGCGGATGGGGCCGCCGCACAGGGGGGGAAATGGGGTGATGTGGGCTGTCGGGGCAACGCTGGGACCCAAAACAGGGGAGAGACGGCTCCGCTACTGGTATGGGCAGGATGCAGACTGGGGGAGATGGGAGGGGAGGGAGAGAGGGCCATGCAGGGACACGGGGACAAGAGGAATGTGCAGAGAGGCTGTCTGGGGACAGCTTTCGCTGCCTGCGGAATCGAGGCAGCTCATCCCTGGTTGGGGTGCAAACGGGAAGCCCTTTTCTGGAGGAGCAGGTGCAGAGGGGATGGGGGGAACTACCCAGCCAAACACCTCATGACCCTCTGGGGCTGGGACAATGATGTGACCCCAAAACAAAGGGGACACAAAGGTGACCCCAAGGGAGGACCCCTCTCCCCATGCAGGTATCCCTGTCTCCACCCGTGCAGCTCAGTGTGGCCCCAGTGGACTCTGGACTCACCAGCAGTTAAGGTCAAAGATGCGGAGTTGCAGGGTGGGATGTCCCTCCATCGCTCACCAGGTGGGCTTTGCAGGGGCTGGGGGGGGCAACACCGGGCAGATGGGTTCCTGTGGGGAGCAGGTCGGGGTGACAGCAC